GGGGTGGGGGGCAACTTCTCAGGCACCTCCAGCAACCTCAACTTCCCAGCACAAAGGTGTGCGTGTGTGAGCGCAGCGGGAGGGCCATGTCCGTCCTCGTAGCCACCCAGCTGACGATAGACACCAGCTTTCCTTCCAGAAGGGTAAGGCGCCGCTTTGGCATGCAGGGCACGCTGTGGGGGAATGTCTGTGCTGATGGCCAGAGTCTCCCGCTCTTCACTGGCTGGGTTGGATAACAACCGGGCAAGTAGGCAGGGGTGGCGGGTGAAGCGGGTCTCAACGTCCCTTCTGCTGATCTTAATGGACAAACGATTTTTTTTCCGACGAGTGCCGACTTCTGATGAATGGTTTGCTTACAGTTGCCGTGGCGAATGCTTAGTGCCTCATTGTTATTCTTTGTGACGTGTTGCCATCTAATGAGATCTCGCCCTCATTGGGAAACAGAAGTATTAATGCGGCAGAGAAGTGTGGAATTTTCTGCATGTTCTGAATTTATACATTTTTGTTTACTCTTTGAAATAAATCGATTTTCTTTTAGGTCAACCGGTTGATCAATGCGGGCTTTTTTTGTTGCTTTCCTCCTTTCATGCAAAACTGAGATTGAGAGTGGTTGAGATCACGACTTCACTAGTGAGGGGCTCCCTCCCTTCGTTCATCCCAACGCCTCTCCATCCACGCTCATAATAAATTCTTAATGACACACTCTCCTCCGCTCCAGATCTGCCCTTTCTCGCCCCTTCTCCTCCGTCTCCCCATCGTCTGCCGGTGTTACAATCCACGGCTGTAGTCTGCTGCTCCCCTCAGTCTGTTCTACCACATCAGCCTCATTCAAACTGCATTTCCTCAGTGACTTATCTGGCACCATTTCATTTTGGGCTCAGTACATAGCTCCTTTCATCCGTAATATACTGGAAGATTCAGCACTTATTCTCCGTGGAAGACGATAATATGGCGACATACTCAGTCCCAGAAAGCATTTAACGCAGCTGGATTTCTACGCATTGCACAGAGAAATAAACCCACACTTGAATATCTACAGTGATGTGATTCAGTGATTTATAGTGTCTTTTTCATAACAATGGTGCATGAGTTGTGGAATCTACACGAGACTTAGTGTGTGTTGCTGCTGGTTGTCATCGCCTACTATTGAGGGAACATGAAGTGAATTATTCAGCAACTCCTTTAGTTCTGTTTTTGTGTAGCCGGTCACAATTTCAATAAAGTGGCGTGAATGGCAGCCCACAGGTATTGAATCCGCCGTTGTACCAAGGCCCAAAATGACCGAGAGTTGTTGGCGCGTAATTCAGTGTCAACGTATTCCTCTGCACAGCCCGGTTGACTCGGGCCTTCAGGGAGGCATAATTCGATTTTGCTAAACACTGACAGAGGGAAATGTTTCTAAGAGAGAGAGAGAGAGCAATAAGCATTACTTTGAGACATCTTCAATATATCGCTGTGATCCTGATGGGGAAGGCATATATCTGTATCTGTACATAGTGCTCATGTTCATGTTTTCCATTAACATCAAAAAGTTGACTCCTATTATCCTATCCTATTATCGTTACGTGTCTTACGGCTCTTCGGGGGACAATAGCACTGTAAACTTTGGCACTGGACTTGTCATGAAATGGGGACTGCGGGAGGAGGAAGTAGTTTAACGTGTTACCTCAAGTTACGAGCGTGCTGCAACTTGAGCCACGCCTCAATTGGGCTCAATTGCACCATTAAAAGTAGGCAGAATCGGCTATTCTCAGTACCTGTTTGCATTGTCGGCATGGATGCACAGAGATTTATTACTTTTTTTGCTTTGGACACTTAAAGACGGAGTGAATCTCTGGGAAGTTCTCAAGTCATGAGACGCTTTTCTTTTTTGCTTTTATTCGTTAGCGGGATTGTAACATGAATTCAGTGATGGAAATCAGAGATAAATATGAAACTGAATCTAGAGGTATGTGTCTTGTTTCTTTGACGTTTAACATTACGGCAATAAGGGTTTTAAAGTATTTGCTGCCTCCATGGGGCAATTTTCAAAGCTGTTTTTTACATAACGTGGACCCGGTTTGTTAAACCGAGCATATTAAGAATCGCTAATCGTATTTATTTTCATAACAACTGGGTGCACATGCCCCTTTCACTCACTGTTGCCCTACAGTTATTTTCTCAGTATTTACTCAAGACAGCTCAAATTAAACATGCAACAGGCCACTAGAAAGAAAAAGCAAAGCGGGGACATTTAACCTGACACACGATCAGCAGGGTGTGGACGCAGCTCATTGTCATGGCATCATGGGAAATCATTGGAATCCTTTTAATACCTAATGGAGAATTGTGCAAAATGATGTGACGAGGGTGGGCTGTAAATAAATCTATGTTACATGCATGCAGAGTGGCGTGGTAACTTCGTTATTCAGCCAAGTGATGTTCAGAGGAAATTGGAAATTAGGCCGTTGCTTCCCCAACAGACGCCGATTGATTGATTGATCTGTTTGCTCTTCCATCAATTTAATTCGTGAGTGGTTTTGTCGCCGTGTGTAGCATGCTGATTGAAACGTCTTGTTTCTCTGACTCCTTGGTTTGTGTCTGTGTTTCACTTGAAGCTCAGTGTTCCGGTGGTCCTTGGCCCATGTGACAATTATAGTATTTCAACTTTTCAACCATAAATACAAAGCAAATACTTCTTGCCCTTTTGTACAACAAGATAACACCTGTGCACTTTCAGCTAAATTATGTTGTTATCCCCGTGTTAAAATCCCAGAGGGCTTTACTGAGCCCTAAATCCATCCCATCATAAAGTGCACAGGCATGCATCATGTCATTTCCCTCAAAATACATCTTTCATGAGCCTGAAATATAATTACAATGTCCCACATCACACCCGAAGTGACTTACTGGCTCAGTACAACAGCACTGCTACCCGCAGAGGTAGGCTGCAGCTATCATCATCATCATCATCATCATCACCATCACTGTTATACATGCCTCTCCACATTTTGCCTCTAATAATGCATGTTCTTCACTGCAGTTATGTTTGTGAGAGGGGGGAAGCTGTATAGCTCCAGTCTGCTGCTGTACCTGCAAGGAGGCGATATGGGGAGTCGAGCTGGGCTCGTGGCTCCCAGCGTGGTCCTGAGGGGAGCGTTAAAGCAGCCAGGCAATTCACAATAGCTCCCCAACAAGGTGGTGTAGATTGGAAGACACCGGGATGGATGTCAAGTGACTTGGACCTATTTCTCCAGGGGTGTGCAGACCCAGGAAAGGCTTTTATGATATGGAGGAACAAATGATGAGAGGGACCAGGGCGACAAGAGGAGGCTGTCAGAGGCTCAGCCAGCAACATAAATCTCTGCTGCAATTAAAAAGCACGCATCAAACATTCAGTGTGTTTTTAAAGGACAATTGATTGAGAAATTGGAGGGACAGGGACTGCCTTTAATTAGTCGAATGCACTAATGTTCTGTGTACTTTCTTTTACAATGGATGACTAAACCAATCAATATTCTGTATTCTAGATAAATTTCCTATTGAAGAGCTGACATTGATACAAGCCATGTTTCCTCGAGCCTCTTCAGAGCCGGAGATGACTCACCATTTGTTAAAAAGAGAGTAGGGGGGGGATATAATTGGACCCCACTCTTTGTTCAATGTCAAATATGGAATATTTTCATATCTGCTGTTCGCTGCAATATATGACAAAATGAACTTGATTTCACTTAATGGGAGATGCAAAAGGACTATTCACCAGAATGTGTGAAGCGCCTTTTGGAGCCATACTTTAGTGCTGCTTTGAAGTTGTCCCCGTGTGAAGATGACCTATTTCCAAGAAATCCGGCTTGGCCCCCGGTGGAGTGACAGTTTGAGCTGTCACAGTGAGATGCTGTTGGGTGTTTGCCTGTGGCATCCATGACGGGGATGGCGCAGATTTGTACACTTTTTGACTGGGGAGCCTTTCCCCTCCGTCCACCACACATAAGCCAATATTCTGCATTTACCCGGAAAGCTGCATATCTGTAGACTCTGTGTGAGCACTTGTGAATTGTAAAGTATGAGCCCATGGTGCTCGTGGACGTGGGCTGATGGAAAATTAAACAAAAAAGGGAACTGGGAAGAGACACTTTCATGTTTTGAATTATTACCAGAAGGGATTTTAAGGAAAGCACAAGGCCTTGCATTTTATGTTTTTGCAGGACAAACATATTTGCTATTTTTTTTTTTTCCGGCATCTTTGAAAATGAAACAAATGTGGGTTTGTGGATGTGTTGACCTTGACCTTATAGCTCAGAGGTCTTCAACGTTTTTCAAGCCAAGGTCCCCCAAACTGATGGCGAGGTGCAGCAGGGACCCCCTATTCTACGGGGTTTGGTCCGCCATCTTTTATTTTTGAGCTTCACGCTCTTTAGACGTGAACATAAACGCGATCTGATTGGCTGGTGCCTGCGCTGTCGTATCAGCATGAAAGGAGCAGTGAGTGAACCGGTGCCCAGCTTGAGAGCTGCTGAGGGAAGCTGAGTGTGTGTGTTGCGGACTGACAGATAACGTCTTCTCCATCAATTTATCCGTTCGCTTCAATATGTTGGATTCATGTTAATGTGTATTTAAAGACCATAAATAACATTCTGATTATGAAGACATTTACATTTGTGCGGAAAAAAACTGTCTTATCAACCAAAAATTTCGCGACCCCCCTGCAGTACCTTCGCAGACCCCTTGGGGGTCGCGGACCCCCTGTTGAAGACCTCTGCTTCAAGATGGGAATGCTCTCCAAAAACAACAAGAGTCTTTGTTGTTTTACACCTGAGGTAGAGGCGTGGTCCCGCCTGCCCTAATCCACAGCGCCACGGAGAGGCACTCGAGCCTCCGTCCCTAGAGGGATAAATAGGCCTACGACCATTTGGGATACAACGTTATGACCCCGTCCATGAAATCACACACGAGTGCTTCTTGTCAAGCAGACCGGTTGAAATAACCAAAATCGGTGACGCTTCATCGTGCAGCGCCCGAGGCGCGTTTGTGCGTAAAACGGCCACCGGGAGAAGCGCCGTGACGGCGATGCCGCTGAGCAACGCTGCTCTCACAGCGCCGGTCACTTCTCATGCAGACTGCGTCTGAGGAGAGCGCACCGTCCCGAGCTCCCTGCGTCCTTCACACACACACACACACACACACACACGCGCGCACACACACACGCGCAGACACAGAGACTTCGTTCGCTGAGGACTGCCCGCCACGAAACCGAGGCGAAAGTGTCGATTACATTACTATCTCGGGCTCCTTTCGTTTGGTGCACCAGCCACCGGGACTCTGGTGCGGATCGAGTATATCGGATCGGAAACTCCTCGCCGTGAGGCGGCATCGGGAAACTGGAGAGACGCGCGTGCTGTGAATACAGATGAGAGCAACTATTGACACCTTCATCACCATCATCTGCCGTGCGCCCGGACAAGAGCCAAGAGGACGTCTCTGCGGCCAAGGATTCGGCTTTACTTTACTGGGTTGTGAGTCGTCCACTCTGGACACATTCCTGTTTACTAGCTCGGTGTCTTCACCTTATCTTTATTCTTTAGCGCGGAGGGGAAAACTGTCTGCCGGCGATCGGTTCTCCCCGCAGCTCACAGAAACCTATTATCTGCCCTAAAAAATAAAATAAAAAGCTCGACTCAGGCAACACCCGCCTGTGACTCTGACGTGTTGTAAGTTGCTTTATCTGGACTGGAACATATAATATGGCTTCGCTGTATCAGAGATTCAACGGGAAGATAAGCACGACCAATTCCTTCCCGCACCCACCTGAGGCCAGCCGCCTTCTGGGTGGGCAGGTTGCAGACGAGGAAAACGCGGCGAAGACCCCTCAGCAGCTCGCCGACGGCAGACCCCACGTCCAGTACCGCAAGAAAAGCGCGAGGGAGGACGAGGATGTAAGACACTTCTACCTTATTAACCCGAAATACCCCGTGCACCCATCTTTTGTGGCTTTAGTTTTACACCACAGAAACTTTTGGTTTCACCTTCACAGTTGTGTCCAGAAGTCCAGCTATCAGTCTAACTGACTTGCTAGATTTGTTTCATTGAATTGTTTTTGCTTGGTCAAGCTGCCTTGCCGTGGTTGCCGTCTATGACGTCATTGATCAACTTCTTGTTTCATAACAGAGGTGATAATTCGCGTCTGTCTGTGTTTCAGAGGCAATGTGGACGTCACCAGCGCGTGATGTGACCGTCTGTAGGTTCCATGTGTGTAGTTGTGTACGCAGAGCTCACTTCCCCTCCTGCGCTGTCCGCGGTGCTGAAATTGGTGCTGAGTTTTTCTATGCTGGTCCCCGTTTTGCCAGTTAAGGCGCTGAAGTTGAGGACATCAAAATGATGTCAAAGGGGAAGACTTAAGCCCTCTTAAGATGTCTGAACGAGGGATGTAAGTTGCATTGTTTGGATATAAATCCTATCCAGCGTGAACCTAATGCATCAGCAAACAAACACAAAATGTGTATTGTGACTTTAATGATTTGGATTCACTTCTCTGATGTTTGGTTATGTTGTTAAAATACACCATCGCCATTAATTGGTGGAATATTTATCTTTAAGTGATCCCAAAATGCATTAAGTTGTCCCTTTCTCTCTTATGTGGGCTTTCAGACATCCGAGGCCGACATTCACCGAGCAGAAAAAACATTAAGTTAGCACAGCTGCGTCAGTATTTACTCTTTAGCTGTTGCTTGTTTGCAGATGATATTAGCTCAAACGTTTCAGCACTCACAAGTGTCCCTGACTGGCCTTTTATCTTTATATAGCTGCCAACGCTGTGATGTTCCTCTGAATAATTGATGCCTCTCACGTCAAACAATCAGATTGGCAACAGGCGGAGCTCTAAAATCTCTACGCTCGTCAACAACAGGCTGAACTCGGTGTTTTGCATTTTCCCCCCATTGACTTTATGAGCCTCAATATGTTCATTATATTGTATTCACTGCTACAGAATTGGAAATCATGGTTTTCACTGGCAATTAAACCCTGGGATTGGATTTTGGGAGTGTGACCAAGAGATGTGATTGAATTTCCAACATATTTATTAGGTTTGCGACGTTAACCTTGAGGTCACCTTTTAGTCCTGGTGTCCCTCTGGGTCGTGCTGGAGCATGAAATTGCCTTCAGCCTCGGGAGATGAGGAGACTATTTCCCACCTCCCGCTCTGGAAAAGTTTTAACGCACTGTTGTTGGTTCCATTTATCTCGCGGAGGGAGAAGGTACAAATTGACGTGGAAATTTAAATTTCTGAAATCCTTCGGCTGCAAGTTGAGCTGCTTCAAAAAAAAGTTTTTTAATGAAAGCGGGACAAAAATTAGAAATGCATTTTGTTAAAGCCGTTTACTTTGTGTGTACGTGTGTTGCAGGAGTGATTGACTGTGATCCGAGTACAAGCATCGATATTCTGTGGTAGGGTTTGAGTCACCTGGGGAGACGTGAGCAGTAGTTCTTTCTCGCGGTCAGTACCGTATACTGCTGAGTGTCCTTAATTAATGTCAGCTGAATGTACAGGTGAAATACGCTGACGTTTCCCCTGTGGACTGAAGCCTCAGGCTACTTTTATGACCCGGCCTGTATTGACTTTTTCTTTCCCCCGCAGACAAAAGGAGAGAAGGTGTAAACACCTCTCTGTTTGTGTCTCACATTGATGGCCGATAAGTGACTCTCAGAATCAAATACACAAAGACTCGATTCTTACGGCAGAAGATTTGCACATTTCTTAAATTTGTAACTATTTTTTAATAAATGTTTCTAACATGTATGCAGCACAGAATGAAGACACCATAAAGGAAATCCTTTATAAAAATAAAAAAACAATGACTAATTAAATGCGATAGTACAACTAAAGTGCGGGTTTGTTTATATGTTCTTTGTATGAAATGAAAATATAATACAAAACCCAAAGCTACAAGCTTTGTAATAAAGAAGATAATGCTATATACTATATTTTATATATACATATAGAATTTATAAGCAAAGATAAAACACACTGTGTAACTTGCTTATTTTTGAAACACAAAGGTTACGCAGGCCACATCACCGGGGATGAGAACACAAATCTGTGGCTGTCCTCGCATGCACTCAACTGTTCCTTCTACTTCCAGATACTCCACATCTGAGCATCTGTTTGGCCCGGATCCCAAGTCTTACTTTCAGCAGTGTGCTTCCCTTTGAGCTCCAGGAGGCTGTGTGGCCGGGCTGCATGTGTGTGCGCTTCATGGGACGCCGCTGGCGTGTTAGTCAAAGCGTACGTGCTTCATCGGACACACGCCGGCGTTCACAGCAGCTCGTATGTGTTTCGATATTCCTCCTCATGACGTGAAATGGGGGGGACAGAGTCTGGATTAGAACCAGTGATTCATGGGCAGCCCCTTAGCCCCCCAGTACAGCAGGGAACCCATTCGCTTCATATTTCACGCCCTTATTTGTTTTTACTGCTTGAGGTGTATGACCGACGTGTGCGTCAAGTGTTTTATGTGACTATGACACATGCAAATATATACTGTAGTACATAGTTTAAAATGTAACATACTGGGGTCATTTCCATCACTCTTTTAGCTTAGAAACACACATGGTCCACGGACCAACTACTGACTTATTTAATCTATCTGCTGTTTGGGGCTAAACAAGTAATGTAAAGTGGGTGAGAGTGAACTAAAACAGGTTCTGGGCACAAAAGAGATGCTTGAATGCTCTGAGTGGAACTGATGAGTTTGTGATACAGTAATAGTGAGTTGATTCATTGTTAATATAGAAATATTGATTACAACAGCGTTAATGTTTTGGCTACATCGTACAGTCTAAACTTAACTGACGTGTAACTCAGTGTTTATGTTATTTCAAAAACGTTTTTCATCATGAAGTAAATCAAATGAAAGAAAGGACCTCAATCACTCGGCGACATCCTCAGCAGGACCACTTGCTCGCCGTTGCCATGGTTGCAAAGGTGGAGAGGGTGAGGCTGTATGGGCTGCGGGTACACAGACGCGCTGCTGCTCGCTGGTGACTGACTGCCAGCTGGAGACGACAAAGCTCGCACGCTGCACACTGAGCATCCTGTGCTGGCTTCATGCTACGGCTGCAACGAGCATGACGTGTTTGCCCCCCCCCTCTATTCTAAATACAGTCATTGCCCTTTGGCTCGGATGAATATCAGCCTCTCCCGTTTCAGGGGCTTGGTTGCAAACTCATTTGCTATCGACCCGTTGTTTTCTTCTTTGTTGTTTTTGCTCCACTGTTCCCAGAGAGCGTCTCAACAGGTCGTCCATCCCTCAGCCCAGCGCTTTGTTGACAAGCCATCAATCAGTTCTCACCAGGCTGCCCTTCCCCCCACAACCTCCACAGACCTGTCAACAGTGCGTCAGCAGGCTGCTGCCTCGCGAGGAGGCTGCGCTTCTTCCCCTCGATGATATACTATTATCACACGAGCAGACAGTGGAGATTAGGCAGTGGTTAGAAACAGAGGAGCCTTCTGAGATGAGGATTCTGCAGAATGGTTAATGCTCAGCTTCAAGGCTTCGTGCGAGATTTTACGTGCTGAAGCTCAGTAACAGTCACTGGCTGTTATTGAACCTCAATGTTCATTCGCATCAACGTTTGAAATCGTCTTCGCCGCGCACTGATATTTTATTAGTGGAGGTAATCTACGTGGTCAAACGTTAGCCGGTTAATATTCATGCGGTAAAACAACAGAATCACTCCTTTTTGCCACTTTTGATCTTGGCGTTTGATGTCTAATCTTGTTCTCCTGATTTTCACTGGCGATTAGATCGATCCACAGATTAAACTTCTCTGTAGATAGGGACAATTTATTTTTAACTTGAGCGTATTGTTCTTTCGTTCTGATTTCCGTGCCTCCCCGTGTTCACGTTTTCTTAAGTTCTTTGTTTACAAGTCCAAGCCAATCAGTGCAGCTTTTTCAGAGGAGGAAAAGATCAGGAATCGCAGATCGAGCGTTATTTAATTATCGTATCCCCAATTTGTTGTTGTGAGTGTTTTAATCCCATTGACCGTCATTTCATTGTGTAACGTTTCGTGTGCGGACCCAAATGCAATCACACAACTCCAGGGATCTTTGACCTTTTATGTAAAACACACAAACTTACTAGGCTCCTAGATTGCATAGTTGCCATAAACAACTGGATGGCTGAAAGCTTTTTGCAGTTGAACCCAGATAAGACAGAGGTTTTAATCATAGTGCCAGATAGTGCTATTCCTCTGATCAAGCAGAACCTTTGTCATCTGCAGTCCCGCCCAGTCTAAGGAACCTTGGGGTGACATTTGACAAATCCCGATCTTTTGAAACCGACAAACCAAAATCAGTGACCAAATCCTGTTTTTTTAACTCACGCAATATAAGCAAATTAAAGGCTGTGGTCTCTCAGCCAGAGCAAGAGATGCTCATTCATGCCTTCGTATTGATTATTGTAATTCACTTTTCTCCTCAATAAATCTGTCCTTCACCGCCTGCAATCCATTCAAAACGCGTCTGCTAGGCTTCTAACTAGATCAAACAGGCACAACCAGATCACCCCTCTGCTTTGCTCTCTTCACTGGCTTCCTGTAACCTACAGGATCCAGTTCAAAATTCCCACCATGACCTATCGGGCTCTACATGGTCAGGCCCCTGACTAGCTTGCCAACATAACTCACTGACATACCCCATCCCGGTCTCTCAGGTCTGTCAATCAAAATCTGCTATCCATGCGACGCCCGCGTCTGAAGACATGTGGGGACAGAGCCTTTGAGGCTATGGCACCCAGACTCTGCAATGCTCTACCAACCAGCATTAGGTGTGCTGAGAATGTGGACGGTTTTTAGGGACAAGTGAAGACTCATTTGTTCAGGCTAGCGTTGGGTAGCCTACGTGTTTTACTGTCTAAGCACATTGCAAAGCACT